TTGGAACAATACATTAGGACCATGTGAGATGGTAACACAGATACTGATAGTCCTAGACTTTGACAGTTACCGAAATACAGGAAGAACTCAATAACGCAATATTCAAAACACTTGTATATAAATATGATATAAATAAGCTCCAATTCCATCGAACAATCAGCTTAAAAAGACTAATAATTAGGATTATAATGAATAAAATTTGTGGCAGAATTAGACAAGAAATAGGACAAGAAATGTAATTTTCATACTATTAGAATATCTCTTTCAAAGTTTACATAAAAGCATTCGTTTATGTACGAAACGAAGAACCATTTCAAAAGGTCTGGATAGCCTGATCTACATCTAAAAGTGCTGTGATGGAGAATATTTCCCTACAAGTTTGGACGCGGCCGTTGGACGAACGACAAAAATATTCCTACATAAAGAGGAGTAGCAGTAGCAGCTTTCGCTGAAAACAGTCATTCACGGCTAAACAGTCTCTTCCTTAGTTTCTATTCTACATTATATTTCCCTGTACCAAAAGGTAATCAACTTGTTAAACCAATTCCGGTTTTCCGTTGTTGCTTTTGATAACTTAGTTACAACAGTTTAGCGACACGAGAATCTAGTTTTTTTTTTTTTAGAAAGGACTAAAAACAAGTTAACGACGAAAAGAAGTCGAAAACACACTGGAATAAAAGGTACAATGGAATATTTTTCGTTTTACTTGAAAAAAAATTGTTTGGGCACCTCGGGGTGGTGTAATGGTTAGCAATCTTGGCTCGCTAAAACAATTACGACTGAGTAGTGATTTCGATCCTCACTGGGTGCCCCACTACTATCGGCCTTGTGCCACATCTAAGCCGGGCTTAGAAAATCACTACTTGAAAAAATGTTTCTGGCAGTATGGAGGAATTTAAAACTGGAACTATTAAAACAGCAATAACAAATCATGAAGCAGGAATCAACACTATAAAGAAATGCTGGAATTTTTTTTTTTTTTAAAGTCGGATAACGAATGAACTGTAATTACTCAAAATTCTTTTGCAAATTCTATTTGTGAAGTCAACTATAATCCCGACGAAGGAATATTTTTTTCCTCGTATTATAGGCGTTATGAAGACGTATTTCAACGCGATTGTCTTGGATGGACAGATGAAAAAAAGGTTCGGTTACTGCTACGAAATTTAGAACCAGTGAAGCATGAGAAATTTGTAAATTACATATTTCTTAAGAATCCTGCGGATATCACATTTGAAGATACTATTCTGTAATTAAAAAAATATTCAGATAAAAGCTCATTTTTTAACAGCCATTGAAATTGTTTGAATTTAGTGAAAAAGGAGAATGAAGAGCACTTAAAATTATGCTACGGGAGTTAATCATCAATGTAAGAAATTCAAACTCGGTTAATTAAGCACTGACATGTTTAAATGTTTAATTTTTGTCCAGGGCTTTACGGCGAATAAAGACGCTGAAATTCGCGACCGAATTCTAGCAAGACACTAATTTCAAAGAGCTGAGGAATGTAAGAAAATAGAAAATCACGATACTCAAATTGAAGATAGAGAAAACTTCTAAATGCACTCAGTACGCAGTGTCGTGAAAAGGGTGTGAGTGGTTTGTGTTGGGGTTTCGATGGGGCGAGGGCCCCGGGCGGGACTTCCGATGGAGTATATTATTTCAGTTTTTATTTAACAAATACACCTAAAATAAGATATTAAAATTAAATAAAATATTTTTTAATTTTAGTTTTAAAATATCTATTTGGCTGTTACTGGTACTGATAATTAAGCCAAAACTTTGAAGAAAATTTTAGATAGGGTTCAGATGACGCGAGTATCTTTTTAAAAATGTCTCCAAAAACGCTGTCTGGCGGTGGGGATGGACCCCACTTACACATGGTGATCAATTTGGACTGGCCATTAAGTATACCACGAGTTACCCCCTCCTACTTAGTTTTTTTTTTTGTTTGTTAGCAACTACTTGAATTCAAAGTTTTTCACGCCTGTGTGAGAAGTCCAAGACTTTGGCGTCAGTTCTTTCATTTTGAGTTTTCATGTCTGTGAATTGGTAGTGAAAAGAAAATTCAAAAGATATAAAGGGTGGGTGTGCGGAGATAAAATGCCATAGAATCAAAAACTACTTAAAGATTTTTGGTTATTATCGAAACTGTTACATTTTCATTATCGAAGAGTCAACTTCTTTCAGACTAAAAACTGAAAAACCAAAGAAAATTTGACTTCAGCATAAATATAGGTGCATTTTTCTTTTCTTAACTCTATTTTAAAGAAATTTAAAACGTGTTTTAAGAAATAATTTTTTTTTTTTTATTAACCTTTGTTTCATATTTAAAATTATATTCTAAGGTAATGTGAAATTTTAAATTTTCTTTGTAGAAGTAGATCTTTATTTCATAGTAAGCACCGTCACTTTTTCGCTAAAAAAAAAAAAAAAAACAATCTGATAAAAGGGCCTCAAACTCAAAAACAAAATTTTATCCTCATTATTAAAAAGAAAGAACAAAAGTATTTTATTATTTTTTTAAAAAATTTAAATCCCTTCTGGCACGTTCGAAATATTGGTTAAAATTTTTTTTTTTTTTTTTTTAACATCAGCGATTGACGTAGTAAATTACGTTGAGTGTTTTTTACATTTTTTTCCGGTAAAAAAACACAATTATTTGGAAATTCTTGCAAGAAACAAGTAATTGTCGGATTTTAATGAAATTTTCGGGACTTATTCACAAATGAATGAAATTATTTTTCAAAGTATTTGTTTTAGAAAATCCTGGTGAGAAATATTTTTTACATTTTTAAACTTACGTAATTTCATGGAATTTCAAGAAATTAAACTTCCGTTCTAGAAATTTTTTTATTAATTAAAATTAGTATTTCTTGGAGAATGTAAATCAATTTTTTTTTTTAAAACAAGACCAGTTACCAAAAATCTGCTCTGAATCGTAAACTAAAAATGCAATAAAATCTAATTGTTTAATTAGAAAAGCGTATAATTGCTTTTATAAATAAGATATATTAAGGACACTATCAACTCAAGAAAAAAAAATCTTTTTCAATGAATAATGATTTTTTACAAGAATTGTTTTTATTTTTAAAATTTAATCGAATTATTTATGATAATTTAAAAATCACTTAAAATTCTGCATTTACTTCAGTTCTTTTAGGTGATTTGTAATTAAGTGGAAAATATGTTTACGAAACAAAAATTGAAAAGTTTAGTAAAAGTCGTTGACACCCAGTATTTTTTTAAATAATTTTTACAATTGTTTTTTTTTTTTTTTAATTTTAACGTTAATTTTTTCTTAAAGTATTCTGTACATGCCATTATTATGAAAAAGTCATGTGTCGTACGAGTTGTCTCCATTTATAGAGAAATGTACGTGTCTTCAATTCGTTATTTGTTTATGTCTTTAAAATTAAAGATATTTAGAAATATAAATTATTATTAAATAAAATAGCATAAAAAAATTTCATAAAATAAGTTACCTCTATGATGGCATTTCATGCATATCTCGGTTGTTAAATTTTAAAATTAATTCAAGAAAAAGTTTATCGTATTTTAAATTTTAGCATTTTTATTATAAATCATTTAAACATAACTAATATTAGATAATTGCTGAAAATATGTTCATTTGTAAAATTACTACGTAGTTAAAATAAAATGAATTCACTTAGATTACTTAAATTTATGTCAATTCTAGTCACACATATAACCGGTCGGACCGCGTCGATACGTCAATAACAACATTAGAAAAACACAACCAGTCATTAAGAAATGCTATTATACTACTTTTTTATGCTACAGTGTAACCCGGATATAAGAGACCCTGATATAAGAGAAACCCGGATATAAGAGATTTTCTCTGGTCCCAAATTAGAGCCTGTGTTAATGTATATAAAATAGACAAAACCCGGATATAAGAGACTTCTCCGGTCCCGACAACTCTCTTATATCTTACTAGTGTAACCCGGATATAAGAGAGTTGTCGGCACCGGAAAAGAAGTCTCTTATATCCGGGTTTGGTGTGTTTTGTTTAGGTAAGTATGGGAACACTTTGGGACCAGATTATATCCGGGTTTCTCTTATATCCGGGTTAGACTGTAATATTTATTTCAAATCAGATTAATTTTACTTTAAATTTGCTAATTTTCCTCAAATAACGTGTCAAAAATATTTTATTTTTGGAAGATTTTTAAAATCGATAATTTTGTTTCGTTTACAAATTTCTTTAAAAGTGAGAAAATAGCCTCTTGTAAAGATTTTTTTTTTTTTTTAAATATAGCAAATATTTGATATTCCAATCTCTATATTTTCTATTTGAAACACATCAGGATAATTTTGTTTACTAGAAATAATAAATTTAATCTTTTAGCTTTCAATTAAAGCTAAAAAGAAATCTTCAAAAATGTATTTTTATTTTAAAAAATTCATTTTAAACTTTAGGTATCGAAATTTACTGAATTTTTTTCTCATAAATAAAGAACTTAACGTAAATTTTTTATTTATGAGAAAAAGATAACATCTCGTGCCAAACATACACATTCCCCATATGACGATTTTAACAAACACCTTACGAATTTTTGTATTTGAATAATATAGAATCAATTTGCTTGTTAATATTTAAAAAAAAAAAAAAAAACTTCATAAACTTTCTTTTGTCACTCAACTTTGAAATAAATAAAATTTGTCCAGTTTGTATAATGTTTAATGTACAGTGTAACCCGGATATAAGAGAGTTGTCGGGACCAGAGAAGAAGTCTCTTATATCCGGGTTTGGTCTATTTTGTTTAGATAAGTATTGGAACACTTCATATAACGCTTTTTACGTACAGAACACTAGTTTATTTAACAGTTATAGACATAAAAAACACAGACAAAAATACATTTTCAATCAGTTTTCAAAATAATTCAATCAAAAATTACTTTTTCTTAAAAAAGTCAGTCATTTTTGATTGTACAGAAATCTCTTTGTTAACATCATGAACACTATCATACAGTCCCTAAATCATTTTCAATGCGCCATCAGGATTACTGCTTTTTGCTTCAAAGTAGGCTGTCAGAGTTTCAAGCGCATTCAATGCAGCCAGAGAATTTGGCACTGGTTTGTCACTTTCAGAAACTTCAGAACTTACGCTTTCAGCATCATCATCATCTTCGTCAAAATCTTGATCATCCGATTTTATACCACGTGTGATGTCCGTGTCAGTCAGTTCTCCATAACATTGTGTACGGTCGTCGAAGCTGATAAATTCGTCAAAATCTGTTTGCCGTGGTTTTGCCGACTTACCAACAACTACAGCTTGCTTTTCACTGCCGTCCATGTTTGTGAGTCTGTCTTTGGGAACTTTCGTCCCATTTGACTGTTCGCCGCCGGCAAATCGCAAAGATCCAGACGGCATAGCTTTGTAGAAAATTCCCGTTTCATCACAGTTCCAAACATCTTTTGGATCATATCCACGAAAAAGTTGCGGCAAAACGTTTGTCACCCATTCGTTGACAGAACCGTGAAATATTTTGAACGAAACGTTATTAGCCTGCTTCCAGCGCATGAGCCAGCCATTGCTTGGTTCAAAATCAACTTCAAGATTTACGGCCAGTTGTGATGCTTTCTGCCTGATGACGTGATCGGTGACTGTAGCTCCATGAGCACATGCTTGCGTAAACCATTGTGTAAGCGCTTCGTTAACGTCCTTGTGCACGGATTGGCGCTTTCGTTTGCGATTAGTTTTTCCGTTCATTTGCATTCAAGATCTGAGATCGTCTTCTTTCTTGAGAATTTTTGCTGCTGTTGAATAACCGATTCCGTACTTTTTGGGCTGCAGCGGCCAGTTTGAGTTTCTTCACTTTGACATCGTCGATGAGCTCCAACTGTTCAGAAATGCTCAGAGTTTTTTCGTTGAGACGCCGACGCCGACGCCGACGCCGACATCACTAATCGCAATGATCGCAAGCAAACGGTTTTCAGTGGCAAAATTAACAAACAGACAAACTTCTGACTCAACAGAACAGTGGGTAAAGTGAAAGTGCTGTCCAGTAAATGTAACGACAAGCAAAGTCGGCAAAAAAGCGGGCGGCGCTACCCTTAGACACACAAAGCAAAATCGTAAGGTAGAGGGTGTCTCCTACAGACACAGATTGGACACACCGTGTCTCTAGACTAGTCAAAATCGATCGATCGATCGATCGATCTCTCTCTCTCTCTCTCTAAACAATGGACCTGTCCAAAGGAAAATAAACTGTTGCGATTTTGTTTGGGGTGGGAGGGGATAGGAGGCGCCAGTCACAATTCTCTCCCCGGGCGTGACCAGCCTTCTGCACGCCACTGGCAGTACGTCAAGAAGAAAAGAGACGGAAATTTTGAAAAAAATCTAACCCTTGTTGTAGAACAAATAAGAAAATATTTGTTAAGCCAAAACCCTGTTATAGCTGTGGAAAATTACATTAAAAAAAAAACTATCAATATAACGGCAAATATTGGTTTAATTGGGTGTATGGAGAACACTTCAAATCAAATCGAAGGAAATTTAAAAATACAGTGAATATGACTTCAACTGAACGATTACAGGCAGTCGACCCGAGTCCGATTAGTGGCGCAAATGAACAAAAGGAAATATGTTCATATTAATGGATAATTTGTAAACTTTCAACTCGATACACGGTCGGATTTAACGATATTAAATTAAAACACATTGTTCAAATTGGGTAAACCAAATTTAACGTCTACAAAAAAAGTTTGCTCGCAGCGTCAAGGGGAAAAAATAAAATTCAAAGGAGAATTTAATTGTGTTGCCGAGTTTTCGGGTAAAACTATAAAGCAAACGTATTTGATGGAAAGAAGCCGTAATCTGTTTTGGACTGATTGGATGAACCAGTTTGACTTCCAATAAGTTCATATTGTAACGAAATAAACGTTTTGACTTCTGACCCTGAAAAATTAAAAGAATTTAAAAAAAAAAAAAAAAATCTTTCGGGAAGTTTTTTTTTATGAAGATTTAGGAAGTTGAAAAATAACTGCAAAATTTAAAGGTAAGGCTACACCCGTGTTTAAACCCCCAAAAAGTATGTTCCATTTGTGACACTCAGTGCAGTTAACAGTGAACTTGAGGGGTTGAAAAAAATAGGAATAATTTCTAAAATAAATTATTCCGAATGTGTGTTTTTTTTTTTTTTAAAGGGGGGGCATGCGGAGATTTTTAGCTCAGGATTGGGCGATTGTTTCGAAACCTATTCGCACCCGATCCCGAACCGACAAGAAATTTTCACCCAGTTAAGCGCTGGAAAATATTTTTCCAAATTTAGTTTCTGGGCGCATATTTGCAGATACCTGTGGATGATCAGTGTTCTAAAATTCTCGCTATTAATACCCACCGAGGGGTCGAAAAATTCGATGTGTTACTTTTTGGGGATAAAAGTGGCACCAGGTATTTTTCGACAAGCCATGGATGTTATGCTTGGAGATTTGAATTTTGCTATCGCATATTTAGATGATATTCTAAAAAAAAAAAAAAAAAAAACACGCAAACAATATACTGAACATATTCACGGAGTGTTTAAAAAATCAGTGATTTTGGATTAAAAATAAGGGAGAAATGTAATCTATGAAACAAAAAAATACTTGAGTCATATATTTGACGAAAATGATAGTTCCAGGCCCTGATAGATCTTTAGCAATTAAGGATATACCGGCACCGAATATATATTAAAACATTATACAGTGTGACCCGGATGTAAGAGAGATTTTCTCTGGTCCCAAATTAGAGCCTGTGTTAATGTATATAAAATAGACCAAACCCGGATATAAGAGACTTCTTCTCCGGTCCCGACAACTCTCTTATATCCGGGTTACACTGTACAAGTATTTTTAGGGCTTGCTAACTATTCCAACTTATTTATAAAATATATGCATAATTTACGTGCGCCACTAAATTTTGGCCACCGATTTATTTCTAGCGCATTTACGACCCCAGTCAGGAGCTAGTTGTTGCTAACGATGCCAGTAATTATGATATTGGGCCAAAAATTTGTACAACTACAAAGATTTAATAATAAAAGCAGTGGTTCATGTATCTAGAACGAATTTAGGTAAAAATGGATAAATAAGATGGCAAAAGGAAAAAAATATCGATGAATATCTCACAATGAATTTATTAAAATCTTGGATACAATACATAATGGAAAAAACATGAGAAGTTTGTCAAATTAAAAAGAATATTCAGCTAAAGCTCTCCCCTCCCATGAGATTTTACTTTTTAGGCGATTACGTCTAAACACACTGAAAAACTTGGGGGAAAAAAACTATAGCTCCACTTGATGAAACCAAAAAAAACAAAAACAATAAAACATTAATTATTTCAGGGGTTATCAGACAACGACAGGATCAGACTGGTGCCAGTAAAATTTAAAATCTTGTCTGATGCGTTTTCAATCTTTTAATACTCAAGTGTGAAGTCTCTGAGAGGCGTCATATAGACATTTTTAGCAAATAGGTGTGAACAGAAATTCAAAAGGTTTGCTGAGGGAATAGGCTAAGTGAACTCTAGAATATTTACTTCGTTTACCATAATTTACCAATAAAATAATTAAATTAGACTCTGAGAGTCAATACGAAATCTGTAAATGGGATTCCTAACCTTCGCCTTTGCGATTTTTCCGATTCCCCGATTCCGATTAATCGTCCCAACACTAATATATATATATATACACACTAATATATATATATATATATATATATATATATATATATATATATATATATATACACTTATTATATATAAATATATATATATATATACACACACTAATACAATTATATATATATACAAGTATATATATATATATATATATATATATACACATATATATATATATATATATACACTTTATATATATATATATATATATATATATATATATATACACTTTAAAAAAATTGTTTTTAATACTAGGAGCAGGAACTTAGCCCCTAATTAAAACAAGAGGAGAAGGACCCCCCCCACTAGAGTAAATATCTATTTAAAAATATTTATTTTAAAATATTGAGGTGGGGACTTATCCCTATTTTAAACTAGAGGGATGGGAGCTTAGACCCACCCTTCTCGAACGGCCATAATTTTCTGTTGCCGAATTGCCATTTTTCCCTATTTATCCATTTTTGCCATTTTTACCCTGCCATTTTTACCGAGCACCATCTAGAACACTACATGCTGAAACAAAAAATTTTCTCAAATCGAGAAGTAGAGGTTGACAATAATTTATGCCGTAAAGAAATTCCATAAGTATATAAATGGAAGAAGTTACGTTATTAAAGACGGATCATCACCTGTTAATAACAATTTTTTGGATCAAAGAAAGGTTTGCCAAACCATACTGCCATCAGACTGAAGAGATGAGGTACTATTCTTTTGAATTATGATTTCAAAATGGAATTTTTACCATCTAATAAGCTTGGTCATGCTGACGAGTTATCACGCTTAATTCCTAGATTTTGCGAATCGCTAGAAGATGCGAAATACAAAAAAATGTTATATAATTCAGTGCAGGATTTATCAGTAACTTTGGCTGATATAAAAAAGAGCAGAAAAGGATGTTTTTATTAATGAAAAGAAAAACAAGTGAGGTGGAAATTAAATGAACAAAATAAGACAGGGTACGTTAATAGTAGAAACTTATTTTCCATATGTGATGGGGTACTGTTATATTCAGAGCGAAACTGATATAACATAAGTGATTTCCATATGGGACACTCAAGAAATTCGCACATGAAGTCCTTCATGCGTAGCTATGTATACTGGCCAAATATGGATAAGGACATAGAAAAATTGGTGAAATCGTGTAGAAAGTGTTCTCTGGTTGCTAAGGCAACTCCGATATAGTTTAGTAACTGACCTGTTACGGACAGACCGTGGGAAAGAATACATGTTGATTTTGTAGGATCACTCAATGGATTTTACTTTGCCCTAGTTGACAGTTTTACAAAATGGCCAGAAATGCTAAAGTGTAACAGACTAACACCAAACGTTATTAATTTTTTGCACGAACTTTTTGCGTAGTTCAAACTCCAAGACTCCATTGTATCTGACAATGAGACACAGTTCACGTCAAAAGATTTGAAAATGTTCTGTGAATCTTTTGCACTTAACCATATCGCAACGCCGCCTGGGTACCTCGAAGTGGTGTAATGGTTAGCAAGCTTGTCTTGCTAGAACAATTACGACTGAGTAGTGAGTTCGATACTCACTGGGTGCCCCATACTTTCGGCCTTGTGCCACATCTAAGCTACGCTTAGAAAATCCCTATCACAACGCCACCTTTCCACCCGTGATTAAATGGATTAGCAGAAAGATTTGTTGATACGCTGAAAAGAGCTCTAAAGAAATACGACTGTAGAGACTTAAAATAGGAATTCAACAATTCCTACAAGTATATCGTATCACACCTAATTTTAACACAGTGTCAGGTATGTCTCCAGCAGATTTGATGTTTGCGAGAAAAGGAAAATTTGTATTTGATAGACTGTTAAGAAAAAGACATGTTTCCAAACATCAGAATACGTCATCCTCAGGTGATTCCAGAGTTCCTCACGTGGTATGTAGAGTTTGCCGCTCTTAGTGTCAGTGAACAGCCTTTTAGCAAAAGCATAAGGGTTATTGTAAAATGATCTCCAACAGTGTCGTTTTATCTTCCGAAGTTTTCTTTTGTTCTCAGCTCTCTAGAGATCACTGATCGTTTCTTTAATATC